TATATATATATATATATGCAAAATATATTTTGTTTCTGCAGTTAGACATGGTGTCTGTCACTTTAAAAATATTTTACAGGGTTCTTCTTAGGAATACAGTTTAGTTTTGCTTACAAATTTGCTCTTTGGAAACATGTTTTTATTCAAACCTTAAGAATTGCATGAGTAATAGAAAAGGGGTGGGCAGAAAAACAAAACCCGATGGATTAATCAAATTTTTTGTGTGGTTCATATGAACTCTTTTAAGAAAAATCAGAATGCTGCTTTCGTATTCTTTTTTGTTCTACAAAATTTATATAAAGGCTTGGAACTTTAAAAGTATATAATGAATTTAGTTTCCCTTGATATAAAAAAATACTTGCATGACAAAGACATTACATAAAGGGACTTAGTGTAATTAGTACTTTTTTTTATAAGCAGAGGATTCTTTCTTTTAACATCCATTCTTATTACCTAGAGTGAAATCCATCATCCTATATTCATGCACAAGGGCCTCGTGCTTGGTCTTGAATTTTCTAAACTGAGAAGCTACTTACAACTCATATTCCTGGATCCCACTGTAGAGATTCTCTGAAGGACCTGGGAATACATTTTGTAAACTTTCTTATGTATTTTGGGAACCAATGTTTTGTTCCTTTGAACATCTCATCAGAATCTTAAGTCTGCCATAACCTACTCTTCTTTGTGTGCCTGGTCTTCATCCTTTAAGTCACTGTTGATGTGCTCCGTCATGAGGAAGCTCCTCCCTAAGTCGAATAGGCAGTGCTCATCTCTTTGTCTTGGATATCTTAGGCTGCCTCATAAAAATACTTTCTAAATTAATTGATCTCCTACGACTTGAAGGTGGGCCTCTCCAGGATGGGATGGGGTTGCTTGTAGGGCATGCAGGTCTTGCCTTATGGAAATATTGCTAATGGGGATCCTGTTAATAAAAACAAATGGACTTTTCTCAGATCAGCAAGTCAACACCATTCTGGCGATCCGCTCTCACCCATTGCCATAAAGGAAAAAGTGTTATTAGTTGTAGAGGCCATCCTCCTGGTCCTGTAACCCAGACCTGGAGTCCAAGTGTGACCCCTGAACAAGGGTGTGTAACTCTGGAGTCATCGGTTTGACATCATGTAAAAATAGAAGATGAGGAAAATAAGGAATGGACCAGAATATGCTGTTTTCCACAAACTGACCTAATTTGACAGGTTACTAATGCCTTTCTGAATAAAATTATTTCATAATTATCTTTGACTTTTCTTATAGTACGTAACAGAAATTGAGTTTCTAGCAATTCATAAATCTTTTTAGCTATTTTAGTAATAGGAAATACTTTCATTATTATTTTAATTTGTTGAATGCCGTACAGCCTTTTCTCTTTAAAAATCATGCATGCAACCCATATCTGAGGAAATGAGATTGTCCTATGGAAAACCAAGCCTGCAGCTTCACACATGACATAAAAGGTGTCAGTTCGACTCACTGGATGGTCAGCGTTAAAACTATCTCAATGAAGAATTTATAAAACTAATGAAATAGCCTTGCTTATCTAAATATTCATGTGAAACTACTCTTAAGTTATCTCAAAATTTGGTAGTATCTTACATTGTGAAAAAAAAGTACCATTCTCAATTTCATTTAGAAAAGTCTTCATGAGCAAATATAATTATATTTCCAATTATGTGTTTAAAAGTATAATAATGAATGCAAGATATATATTTCTGATCCCACCTAGACATGGATGAAAATGGCCAAGAGCCTCATCTTTCTCCTGCAGAACCATGGGTGGGTTTAAACTGCTGACCAAGAGATTAGTTGTCCCACTCACAACCCACTCCTTCAAAATGTCCACATAGTGCATGAATTCATTGTAAAGGCTATTAATTAAATAATTTGGTATGAATAGTTAAAGGTATTACATTTAAGCATACAGTCATAAGGGAACATGTTTCAGTTGGATTTTATAATGTCAACCCTGCCCCTTTGCCTTGATTACTTACATTTGGTGTAATGTGTAACTGAAGAAGTAAACCTTATTATACATAGTCACCAAACTGAATGGATATTTAGGATTACAAAGAATGGACTCCAGTTAAAGAGCAAAATGTCAGTTTTGTCTTAAAGGCATTGGCACAGAGATGATCCTTAACAAAACGCCTTGCTTGAGATGGCACATACATGGAGCTATGTGATAGAGTTGGGTTTCACACAGAGCACTATAGAACTGTGGGCTGTAAAGTGCATTCTTTGTACTTCTTCCCAGTATAATTTAAGTTAAAATGTACTGATGTAAATTTTTATAGTTCCTGGATTGACAGGGGTCTGCATGGTATTGGTGCTATTCCTTATGGTTACAGCTTCTACATATGCAATCCGGTAAGTTCAGAGTCATTATTCTCATATTTACTAAGCTTTTCTTCAGATTATCTTCATTTTTACACGTAGAAAAAGTCTTCATATACTAAACAAACCTCTTATAGCCAATGTAGTAACTTGATTAATGGAATATTCTGAGTGATAAAGAGTGAAGTAGAAGCATTTCAACTTATGAATTTCTGTTTGTGAAAAATCTCTTTGCTAGTTAACTTCTCTTGGCTGGAATTAGATGTGAACATTTAATATGACAACTGAGGAAATTTTGGTTTTTCAGGATCATCCTTCCATAAGGCAATTTACCTCTAAAGGGTATGGGATTGAATTTAAAATAGGCATAGTAATATTGGGATTTCCTTAGAATATACAATTTGAAATAAATATGTATCTAATTTTCCTTATGTGAAGTTGTTTTGATGTTATTAAAGTTAGCATTCTAAAAGAAGCTTTCAGAACACTTGATAAGTTGAACTTAGCAAAAATAATTAGAAATATATATTTAAATTTATTCCTACTTCAAATAATTTAAAGTAATTACAGGTAGACATTTTTCTGAGCACTTTAATATGTCTCTTTTGAAGGACACATTCAAATTTTAAGAATATTTTACATTGTTTTCCATTTTTTATTGTATATTTTAGTTAAAGTAGTAAAAGGAAGAAATAACATGTATTTCAAAAAGCCCTTCGAACTTTCTCTTTGCTAAAATAAGAAATTTAGTAGAGATTATACACATATATGAAGTATGGTAACCAAGTGTATGTTTATTCCAAATAGTATATGTTTTTATTTCTGTCCACAATCAGGGAATGGCCACAGACAATTTTTCTCTGTAACGCCCTTGTCTTAATCTCATTAGGGTGCTTTCAAAAAAGGTCCAATCAATCCAATCATAATAATCCCTTTGGAGGGGATCTAATGACCAGTTTAATTCAGGGCAGAGAGATCAGCTCAGAATGGTATGGTGGCTGTTGTTTTGAGTCTCTGTAAGGTAAGCGGAGTGGCTTTGCTTGAAGGACACAGAAGGAGCACAGGGGCTTATATGGTGCTACCTCCAACAACTAAGAATGGAAATTCCATATGATCGAGCAATACCTCAGATGAGTATATGTCCACAAGAGCCTTTACATGAACAGGAATATGCCCACCCATGTTCATTGCACCACTATTCACAATAAAAAGAGGATAGAATCCACTTCAGTTCCCATTAGTGGATAAATGGGAAAAGACTCTTTGCATACACAGTGGCATGCTGCTAATCACTAAGAAGCAGTGACGAAACAGAAGCACCTCACAGCATAGGTCAACCTGGAGAATATTATTCTGAGTGAAATTAGCCAATTACAAAAGGACAAACATTATAGGAGAACACTGTTATAGGGAAATACCCACATTATAGACTCGGATACTAAAGGGAGCAGATTTTGGAGTTTGCCAAGTGGGGAGACAAGGGAAGGCAGACAAAGCAATGAGGTGTACTGTTCTCACGTTCACTTGTGTGTAATGAATGACCATCGTCCAAAAGAAGGGGAAGAGAAATCAGGGAGTTGGTGTGGTAAACTATTGGGAGGTTTGATGAGTGGTTGATTATCTGCATTTTTAAAAATGGACTATCTGAATACAAAGTTGATTATCTGAATTTTAAACATCTCCCTAATTTCTGATAGAAAAGACATTTTTAAAAAATTGAAAATTGCATTGTTGTGAAAAAGGACAGAAAGTTGGCCTTTGGACTCATTTTTTCCCGTTACAATTCACCTTTCCATTCTTCCAGGGTAACAAGAGCTGTCTAATGGATATTTCATTGGCAAACTGTTCACCATCCACCTAATAGCCCTGATCTGGCCCTTTCAGATTTCATTTTGTTTCTGAAACTTGACAATCAAAGAGTAACATGATTTAAGTCCCTTCAAGGTGCCAAAATTTTTGACGTGAAATCATTTCTGACTGATGTGAATTGAAAAATACAGAATTCATTGTGGGAGGGTTAGAGAGATGGAAACAGTGAAATATATGTGGAAAAGCAATAGCTTTTTAAATAAAGATGTCTATGATTTTGTAACAATATTTTTGACATATACTTATATATATACATTTAGTGGAGGCTATATATATATGAGGAGGTACCAAAAAAACAACAAAACAAAACTTTTACGCCCCCCAATGTGATATATTTAAATTTTATAACAAAAAAAACTTATCAACTTCAAAGTAATCTCCATTACACTTAATACATTTTTCAAATTTGCAATTCCAATCTTAGAAACAGTTTTCTTTTTCTTTTTAAAATCATTTTATTGGGGGCTCATACAATTCTTATCACAATCCATACATCCATCCATTGTGTCAAGCACATGTGTACATTTGTTTCCACCATCATTCTCAAAACATTTACTTTCTACTTGAGCCCTTAATATCAGCTCCTCATTTTTCCTTTCCCTCCCTACTACCTCCTCCCTCATGAACCCTTCATAATTCATAAATTATTAATTTGTCATATCTTACACTGTCCGACATCTCTCTTCACCCACTTTTCTGTTGTTCATCCCCCAGGGAGGAGGTTATACGTAGATCCTTGTAATTGGTTCCCCCTTTCTACCCCACCTTCTGTTCACCCTCCAGGTATTGCCACTCTCACCACTGGTCCTGAAGGGATCATCTGTCCTGGATTCAGGACCAGTGGTGAGAGTGGGGATCCCTTCAGATGGAAATATTTTTCAAACTCATCTGTTTGAATGGCTGACAGCACCTCCCTCGTTTTTTTTCTTCATCTCTCATGTTGTCAAATTGCTGTCTTTTCATGTCCTCTTCATTTGCGGAAACAAAAAGAAGTAGCATGGAGCAGGGTCAGATGAGAAAGGTGTGTGGGGCAAGAGAGGCATGCTGGAGGGTTTGTTTGTTTTTTTTTGCCCCAAACTGGCACACTGAGATGGCTATGTTAGCAGGTGCATTGTCGTGGTGGCAAAACCAGTCTCCCATCTGCCACAAATAAGGCCTTTTTGTCGCACACTGTTATGCAATCTTTGTAGAACCTCCAAATAGAAAGTTTCATCAACAGTCTGACCTGGTGAAACAAACTCCAAATGCAATATTTGTAGACATTTGCATTTGCTCAGGAAGTTGACAGACATCCAGAATGAGGTTTGTCATCAATCGACAGTTTACCATTTTTGAAATGAGAAAACCACTTTTGCACCTTGAATTTTCCCCATAGCTTCTGTCTTTATAAGCTGTAATTGAACATCAAAAGTTTCTGCAGCATAGTTCCTGAGCAGGAAATAAAATTTCACAGCTGCATGGTGTTCTTTTAACTTGGCCACCACAAAAAAAGAGGTTCAAGTGAAACTGCTTTTATAAAAAAAAAAAAAAATCACTAGGACCAGAGAGAACCTTCCCAGATGATGTCACTGGGTGCACTAACTCAGAGCGAGTTGCTTGATGCTTGCCTAGCAGGGAAAAGTGCATGTGATGAAAGCTCTGCTCCACTCAGCAAAATTCTGGTTTTTTTTTTTGTGTGTGGGGTTCCCCCTTGTATATCTTAGATTTCTTAACTAAACATGGTTGGATATTTCTTAAAAGAGATTATATATGTGTGTCGATTCCTCTCTCTCACACATCTACTTTAAAGAGTAATTGTTCAGTAAAATAGTCAAGTGCGTCTTTGCCTACACTTCTAAATATTGCTTCATAGACACACCTACATCTTAAAACCTGTCATGAAATTTGATTGTAATGATCTGGTGTTTATGTTTATAGACTTAAGCTATCTTGTTCTCTACCAATCTCCTATTTCCCACTTAAATTACACCTTCTATTTTCATTTCTCACTTCTGATCCTTCTCTTTCTCTATACATATATATGGATTTTGTATAAATCAGGTCAAGTTACAGAGAGTATTTAAATTTGTTTTTAATTTCAATATGTTATGAACATTTCTTTCACATTAATAAATATTTCTCTCTTATTCTCTTTACTGAGTGAATATTTCCATTTAGATATACATTGATTTATTTTCCTAGGTCTCCATTGTTCAATGTTTTAGGTTTACTTCAGTGAGTGAGCCCTGGTGGCCTTGTCGGGTAAGCATTGGACTGTTAGCCACAAGGTCATTGGTTCAAGCCCACTAGTAGCTCTATTGGGACTAAGGTCAAGCTATCTCCTATAAAGATTTACAGTTTTGGAAACTCTATATAGAGCTATTATGAGTCAGAATCAGCTCCATTACAGTGGGATGGTTTTGTGTTTTATTCATGTGTTTGTGTACATTTTCAATTATTTCCTAAGGCAAATTTCTGAGATGTAGATAAAGTAGTTGGGTCAAGTGTAAACATACTTTTAAGATTTTTATATAAACTGCTGCCTTACATAATGACAAATCCATGCCCATTTTGTGACAGATGTTTTATTATAATTTGATTTTAAAAAGGCTTTAAACCAATTGACATATATTTTTCAGGAGTTCTTGAAGAAAATGTAAGACATTGCCAGATTTCTTTTTTTACAAGATCGAGGATACATAGAAGTTCTAATAAATAAATTAATAACACGGCATGAAAATTTATGAGCAATACAAGTCTTCAGGGCATGAAATTCTAGATGAGTTCTAGAGCTGACGCTAACAGATAATGCCGTCCCAGCTTCAGAAGGAATACTTCTCAGACCTCAGGATGGGCAAGGGGTTACATAGGAAATATGTGACAATCTAAAAGCATGAAACCGAAAACTTCTGCTTATTGATGTACATTACGAAAATAGTTAGGTAGACATGTTATTGAGGAGATTGTTACAAATCACATGGAACTATTGGGGGTTGGAAATTTTTCCTTTGTAGTTTTAGCAAACAAATTAATTTTTTCATAGTTTATGGAGGGTAGAGGTCCAAACTGAAAGAGCTGGATGAAAGGGTAGCCTCTCTCTGTGAACTCTTGAGGAAGACCCTGTCTCTGTAGCTTCTGATTCCTGGTTCCTGGGTGCTCTCCGTATCATTTGGTATCTGTTTTATCTCATAGTTCCTCTGCTGGCCTGTTTAATCTCTTTTATATCTCATAAGACATGGATTCAAGATACACCACATACGAATCCTGTCTCATTCATAGAACAAAGATAACACATCTCCAAATGGGAAAGGACTTGTAAATACCTCCCCTCTGCCTTCGAGAGCCTGATGTATGCATATCTACTTACTCCCAGGCATATGAAAAAATTGCTAGTCTTTCTCCTTCTTTCAAACATGTCTTCAATTGTACTTATCATAACCCATCTATTTCAGAATCTATATTCTCCCCAGGGGAATAACTCCATCGTGTTATTCTTAAGAATCTCTTCCCAGGAAAAGTAAATAAACTTTGATGAGCACTTTGTTTGTCTCCATTTGAGTTTACTTTGAACTATGTTCTATGCATTGGATAGGGAAAACTAGTTATTCTAGAAAAAATTTGAAAATCAAAAATATTAATAAAGAGGACAACAAAATATAGACTGTTACCAACTTAGTCTTGTATTATACTAAACTTAAACATTCTTATTTAACTCTTTATATGTACCTTTATGTAAAATTCAAAGACTATTCAAACTGATTTGTTATTTATAATTCCTGTCAATTTTATTTGTATGAAATGCATGCTGATATGTTGGTATTATAATCTTTATCTCAGGTTGACTCATTTTTAAGTTCCTTAAATTGTAGCATACCTTTGAAACGGTGTGCAACTTATTAGTGACAAAAGATATAAGTGAGACTAAAGCTGCTGTTTGTTTTTCCAGCGTTTCTAACTATGACATCTTCTGGTATACTCATAATCTCTTCTTGGTCTTCTACATGCTGCTGATGTTTCACGTTTCAGGGTAAGTTTAAAGAAGGACTGAAATCTTTTTAATTCCTAAGAATCCTATTTTATCTCTAAGAATAATTGAATTGAGCTTTCAGGTTAAAATATACTACCTGTAGTTTTCTTTGGTTCTGTTGGGTAACTGTGACCTGAGATCTATTTGATGGCAGTGATTTTTCATATAGATTTAGATATGCTAGTGAGTAATATGGAAAAAGATGAAATAAAATTAAATTCACATGTGCCTAAAAATAGGTTGGGAAAGACAGCTCTATATAAACATTATTCTGTTTTTCAACATTATGTTGTAATGAAACTGGTAGACATATATATCAAAATTTATAACTAGAACTAGAATCACACGTTGTGTGATATTTAATGTCTGCTATAGATTTGTTATAGGAGCCCTGGTGATGTAGTGGTTACATGTTGAGTTGCCATCCTTGTGGTTGACCATTCGAAACCACCAGCAGCTCAATGGGAGAAAATGGGGCTTTCTATCACTGTAAACAGTTGCCAGTTGCCTTGTTGGCAACCCACAGCAGAGTCGCCATGAGTCAGCGTGGATTCGCGGGCAGTGAGTGGACAGGGTTGTCATTAAAGAACCCTTGGCAGTCACCAATCTTAGGGTCAGTGCTTCACATTTTTCTCGAGAGAAAGATGGCCACCTGTCTGCTCCTGTAACGATTGATCGTGTCAGCCACCCTCTTTGAGTCACTGAGAATTGACTCAGCAGGAAATCATAGAGTATTAGAGACCATTATGAGTCAAATCAGCTTAACAACAATGGGTTTGGTAAAGCCCTGTTGGTACAGTGGCTTAAGTGCCCAGCTTCTAACTAAAAGAAATGTTGGGAGTTCAAAACCACAAGTCTCTCTCCCTAGCATAAAGATGCGGTAGTTTGCTACTATAAAAGTACACCCTTGGAAACGCTAAGGGGCAGTTCGGCACTGGCCTGTTGGGTCGCTCTGAATTGGAATGGACTTGCTGCAGGTGAGTTTGATTGTGTTTTTTATAGCTGCATCCTGATACTCTCTAACTAAATTAAGTAAGACTTGGAATGATGAACTTCGAGAAGATATTTTAGTATTTTAATTTTCAGAAAACACTCAGCTTAAAGAGTTTTTGACAATGGGGTTTTTAGTCTTTTCATTTGGAAAATCCTAATAATAATAATAGTTGCAGAGCTAGCCAAAAATTTAGACTCACCAATGATAAGGACGTGTCAAGCACTGAAAAATCACAAAGGGAATTTAAAAATGTATCCTAAATTTGTTCTAAAATATATACCCCAGTGTTCCAATCTGTATTTTGATAATGGATCTCAAGCGGTAACTGCAGTCATATAGTGGTTAAAAAAAATCCGTGGGGTATACAAAGAAAACAATGGAGTGTGTGTGTATGCGTGTGCATGCATGCACGTGTGTGTATGCTTTAGAAAGTTGATAGGAAAAAACATTATTTTCTAATTAACATTAACCCACACACTTTTGGAAGCTTGAAGCCCTTTCATGTGTGTGTGTGCCTGGGTGTATATATGTTATACACTCACTGATATATATATGATACACTTAAAAATTCTATTTTTTTCATTTGCTGTTGTTGTCCTAATCAGTAGCGAACTTGTTATTGTTAGGTGCTATCGAGTGGGTTTCAAATGCTAGCAACCCCGTGTACCACAGAACAAAACACTGCCCAGTCTTGTGTAATTGTCACAACTGTTGTTACGTGTGAGCACATCGTTGTAGCCACTGTGTCTGTGCATCTTGCTGAGGGCCTTCGATTTCACAGGTCCTCTACTTTACCTAGCATGATGTCTTTTTCCACCACTCGTCTCTCGTGCTGGGTCTCTCCATCCTGGCTTCTAGAAGCTTTCGGGCTGTCCTCTTCCAAGATAGGTTTGTTTGTTCTTTTGGTTGTCCATGGTGCTTTCAGCATTCCTTCGCAGCATCCTAATTCAAATGCATCAATTTCTCTTCAGTCTTCCTTCTTCAGTGTCCAAGTTTTATACACACGAGGTGATTGGACATACTATAGCTTGACTTAGGAGGACCTTAGTGCTTAAGGTGACAGCCTCATTTTTCAACACTGTAATAAAGAAGTCTTGTGCAGCAGATTTACCCAGTTTACTGTGTCATTTGAATGCTTAATTGCTGCTTCCACTAACACTGATTGTGGATTCTAACAAGATGAAGTCTTTGACAACATCAATATTTTGTTTTCCATGAAGTTACCTGGGCATCCAGCTGTGAGGATTTTCATGATCTTTTCACTGAGTTGTAATCCATATTGAAGGCTTCCATCCTGGGTCTTCATCAGCAAGTGCTTCGTGTTCTCTTCTTTCTTGGCAAGCCAGTTGTTTTCAGCTGCACATTGTAGGTTGTTAAAAAGCCTTCCAATCCAAATCCAATCTAAGCCCCACTCTTCATCATTTAGTCCAGTGTCTGTGATTATTTGCTCAGCATACGGATTGAAAAATATATTGAGAGGATACTACCCTGATGCACATGTTTTCTGATTTAAAAGCATTCAGTACTCCCTTGTCCTGTTCACACACTGCCTCTTCATCTATTTACGGGTTCTGTATAAGAACATTGATATGTGTGAGAAGAATTCCCATTCTTTTCAAAGCTATCTGTTTTTACGATCCACATAGTCTAATAGTCTAATGCCTCTGCATAGTCAATAAAACACAAGTAAACATCTTTCTTGTATTCTCTGCTTCATCCAAGATCCATTTGACATCAGCAATGATATCTCTTGTTCTTTGTCCTCCTTTGAATCTTGCTTGAACTTCTGGAAGCTCCCTGTCAATGTACTGCTTCAATCATTGTGGATGATCTTCAGTAAAATTTTACTTGCACTTGATATTAATGATATTTGTCCTGTGTTTAAGAATTCTCTTGTGTCACTTTCTTGGGCATAAGTACAGATATGGATTTTTTTTCGTCAGTTGGCCAAGTTGCTATCTTCTCCAAATTTCTTGGCATAGATTAGTGAGTGCTTCCAGTGTTTTATCAGCTTATTGGAACATTGAACTAGGTATTCCATCCATTCCTGGAAATTTGTTTCTGGCTAATGCCTTCAGTGCAGCTTAGACTTCAAGTCTATAAGTGAACTTGGTTCTTTAGCACATGCTACCTCTTCAAATGATTAAATGTCTGGTTCTTTTTGGTACAATGGCTCCGTCTTTTTTCCATCTTGTTTTGGAAATTCCTACATAATTAAATAGTTTTGCCCATGGAATTTTTCAGTATTGCAGTAAAAGCCTGAGTGTTTTTTTTTAAGTTCCTTCAGTTTAAAATATGCTGAGTGCTTTATTCCTTTTTGGTTTTCAACTGCAGGTCTGAGCACATTTCATTATAATATTGTATTTTTTCTTCCCTAGCTGCCCTTAGAAATTTTCTGTTCAGTTCTTTGGCTTCATTATTTTTTCTATATGCCTAACTACTCTACAATTTAGAGCAAGTTTCAGAGTCTCTTTTAACATCCACTTTGATCTTTTCTTTCCTTCCTTCCATTTAGTGACCCTTTGCTTTCTTTATGAAGGATGTTCTTGATGTCATCCTACAGCTCATCAGGCCTTCTGTCATTCTTGTTCAATCTGTCATTTCTGTTCTTGAAATGTTCTGAAAATTAAGGTGGGAGAGAGTCAGGGTTGTATTTTGGTACTTGCCACTTATTTTTTCAACTTCAACCTGAACTTACATATTGGCAGTTTATGGCTTATTCCACAGTCAGCCACCTGGCCTGGTTTTTGTTGCCAATATTGAGCTTCTCCATTTTCTCTTCTCATAGATGTAATCAACTTAAATTCACTGTATTCCATCTGTTAAAGTCTTGTGTAGAGAAGCCTTTTTGTGTTGTTGAAATAATGTATTTGCTACTAGCATATTGCTAGTTCTGCAAAATTGCATCATGCAATCTTTAGCTTCATTTTTTGTCCCCAAGGCCATATAGTCAACAATTGTACCTTCTTTGTTTCCAACTTTTGCATTCCAAATGCCAATAATTATGAATGCATTTTGATTTCATGTTTTATCAATTTCAGACTAAAGGAGTTGGTCAAATTCTTTAATTTCTGCTTCTCTAACTCCAGTAGTTGGTGCATAAATTTGGATAATAATTGTATCGACTAGGTTTATGCTGATAGATACTATCCTATTACAGACAGCATTGTACATCCCGATGTCTCTTCAAATGTCCTTTCTAGACAATGAATGGAACATGAATTCTCTTGAAGTTTTCATCCTTGGCATAGTAAATATGATTGTCAGGTTCAAATGACCTTGACTGCCTTGGATCTGGATCTTGGCATGACCCGCTTTGTTTTTGATGACTTCTAATTTTCCTCAATTCATTCTTCCAATATTTCACGTTCGGATTATGAATAGATGTTTGCAGCTGTTTCTTCTCATTTTCAATCATGCCGCATCCGCAAAGACGGTCTTGAAAGCTTTGCTATATCCACGTCATTATGGTTGACTCTGGTTTGAGAAGGCAGCTCCTGCGTCTTCACTCGAGTGCTTTCTGACCTGCGGGCTGGGTTTTTGGCCGATATATGGCAATGTTCTGGTGCTATTCATGAGGTTGTCAGGGTCTGACAAGGTTTTGCTGCCAGATTTCGAGTGGCTAATTCCTCCGAAGCTGGCAGCTTGCTGCTTCCCATTGTCTGTTCATAGTCTGGAGGCTCTGCTGAAACCTGTTCGGATTGGGTGACCCTGTTGGTGTTTGACATATCAGTGACACAGTTTCCCCCATCACAGCAACATCACAGCACGCTCCCACTGTCCCACAAACTGACAGGGAAGTGGCAGACTAGTGACCTTTACTAAGTTCACAAGTTCACTAATACACTCCTAAGATAGTCATGTATTACCTGGTGCTTCATTACGCTTGTTCGCCAGGAGGATGCATGCCTGAAAGCAGAATGCCAGCAGGAATATTTCAGGTTTGTTTCAAATATTAGGTTCTTTATTGTTGTTCTGTAATGATTTTCACCTTCTCCTACCCCAC